GGCTCGAGCATGGACAGATGGCATTTCTCTCATAAAATTGAATTTTTCCTGCTCAAACTGATCACAAAACTGACCAAAATTGAGACTTCAAATGCGTATAGCGCGAGACCTAAGCGTGACGCAAAGCTGAATTTAAAAACTTAAATGGTGCAAGGCCAGCGGATATCCTCAAAAAATTTTAGTGCCGTAGCATGACTTGTTTCGTAAACTGCTTCTTCGCCGCGTGACAGAGCAGATGAAAGGCCATACACAAATAGCAAATGTCCTCGTAAAAAAAGTATTCTGCGCAACCTATCCCGAAATTGCCATTTGCCAGCGACGCCTCCATCTTAATTTTGACGTGTCCGTATGCGCAGCGTAAGCATGCGCCAAAGTCGAATTTGAAGCTTTTTCACAAAGTGCACAAAATATCCATGTAAAATTCAGTCCCGAATCTTATCCGTCCCACGAAATCGTTTTCCCATTAAAAGCCTATGTTTTTCCCAGCGACTGTACACGAGCCAGAAGCGTACGCTCGCGCTAACTTTAAGTTGTCTTGACTTCTTCGGTTGCTGAATTGAAAGTGGGTGACAAAATTCTTGCACACAAAGATATATACGTAAACAGACACATAAATAAATAAATAAATACATACATACATACATACATACATACATACACACATACATACATGCATACATACATACATACATACATGCATACATGCATACATACACTCAGTCGTCAATGGAGTTTTAAACGCTATAAAAGGGGACCATTTGCTATACTAGGCGTCTTCATAACATGTCTAGAGCCTCATTTAACGTCGCCGTCCTAGACCTCCACATCGACAAAGGGCTCTTTGTCTCCCGCTGGCGGCTCTTCAAGGCATCCTCAGTTTGGGAGCATCCCGTATTCCCTCCCAACTTTTCGGACATGATTATATGTTGTATTTGCAAGCAAGCACAGTATGCGCGGTTTTTGAATAAATCTTTGATGCATTACTCTTTCTCAATCTGGTTCCCGCGGATTCATCGTCACACACATAGAGACCAAGTGCACATATCTCGTACTAATACGAGATCTCTCCGTATGCATTCTTTGTTCTTACTCAAGAGCTGCATCAATAAACAAAAAAAGCGATTTTGGCTTCTACACAAGTCAATACCAAATTACAACCGAAAGGAGTCCACTAAGCACAAAAAAACTGGTAATCTCCATTAAAAAAATAGAAAAATTATTTTCCACTTGGGCTGAGTGTGACTAATCAATCACTCATGAAGCGAAGGCCTTGCCA